TGAGGCAGGTCCCAGAGTTCACAGGGCTTCACGGCTTGAATACTTGATAACCCAGACAAGAATCCATCTGATGGAGAATTGCCTGGCTACGAGGCTGGGCCAAGAACCCCAATCCTGACTCCCATCTCACACACCACTTCTGCCCACTCAGGAGTCTCTGGGATAAGCCCTTGGCCCCGTCCAGGCCTGTAGGGGCCCAAACCCTAGTTCTAGTACCTGCCAGCAAAAAGCCATGGATTCGGGGCTGAAGCCAAGGCTCCGTCTTAGAGTCTCATGAGGCAGTTCTCCTGAATCAGCAACACTTGCTGAAGTTTGGTGGCCCTAGAAGGTCCATGTTCTCAGCCATCTTTCTCATTGGTAGTGGAAGGAGCACACACATACTAAGCAGCCCCATGGCACCCTCGCAACAGGGTGCAGCAGGGTGATGGGGGTTTCCATGCCTGAAGACCACAAGGCTTGTAGGGGCTTGAAATTCGGCTTAGGGTCTGGAGATTAGAGCTAATGAGTGAGAGCCCATCTCCTCAGTTACCTGGGCTAGAGGAATATGTCAGTTCTGATTTTGTGCTTTCTTGTTTCCTGTCTGTATTATTTTCCCTCCAACCTGAGCGTGAGAGATGAGAATGAAACTCCTGGACAAGGGTTGGCAAACTATGGCCTGAGTATTTTTCTAAATAAAGTTCAGTGTAACACAGTCATGCCTACTTGTTGACACGTTATCTAGGGCTGCCTTGGCACTGCAGTGGCAGAATCGAGTTATAGCCAAGACTGTATAGCCCACAAAAACCTAAACTATTTGCTCTCTGACACTTCACAGCAAAAGTTTGCTAGACTATGCTCTAGGAGGTGGATGGAGACTACTGTATCCTTTTATAGGCATTCTTGCCCACCCAGAAGTTGACAGGGTGACATGGTTAAATATTTGGAGGCTTTGCCAGGCTGGAATGCTACATAGGCATTCAGCATCTTCACTGTGTTCTCGAGGAGGACATATTGGCTTCAGAGCCCCCAGGAGCCAAGTGAGGTTCTGGGTTCCCTCGCACCATCCCGTCACTCCTGGCACACTCCTGGCACTGCAGCAGGTCTGAAACTGCCCTGTAGCCCACAGCCGAGCAGCTCTGTCTTGGTTTGTGTTTAATGTTAACTCGTTCATAGAGAACCATGATTTATCTCCAGTGTGACATTTGGCTGATTCTCGGGTCTCTTGGCATAGAAGAATGTCAGGCTAACTTCTGGGACCACAAACTCCTGACTTCACCTCTTCTCTCCTATCCCAGTGTCTGAATAACACGTTTCTGAATAACATGTTAGGAGTTGAGACAAGGCCCATCTGCCAGATCTAATTGAAACTTGTGTGTGTCTCCCAGAGAGGCTCCTCTTGGAGACAAAAGCCTTCTTTATCAGAGCCCCGGGCCCCTCTGGGGATGGGACATTGTTTTCCTTGCACTTTAGAGCCAGTGTGTGATCCAGATGGCCTTACCTCCTGTCTGAAACAAGGTGTACATGCATTTCAGAGGCGGTCATTACCTCCTGCCTGGTTTTTATTGCTGTCTTGTTTTGTCTAGACCAAGCCATTGCTGCAAGGAATCTGGCTGATGTATACCAGGGAGCACATACCATGGACCTGCCCTCCACAGCGGGTGGACCGGAGGGCCTGAGAGGGGCTAACAGGCATGCACTTACTCCCAAGGGATCTTAGTCTCTCAGCTTTGCTTCAGGGTTTTTGCTGGGTTCGCCAAGCCTTAAACGGGAGCACTTTTATTTGTTGGAATGAGGAGTGACTTTCTTAGGTGCTTTCCTAAAAGGAAAGCTGACAGCTTCCCCATGGAGGAGGGGGTCATATTAAACCATTGTGCTGGATGCCTCAGGTGCATTTCAAACCCAGAACCTGGCTTGGGGAGAGAAATGGAATTTGAAAGTTGGGTGCTTCCCGGGAGTGGGAAGCTGGCACGTCTCCCCAGAGCCACCTGTGCAGAGTACACAGGCATATGTCATGGTGGTGGTGGTGGTGGTGATGATGATGACCTTCCATTTGTTTGGAGCAATCTTTCTCAATCTCCTCGGAGCTAAAAAAAAAAAAAAAAAAAAAAAGAAAAGAAAACCTTATCAGATGCCTGCCCCAAACCAATTATTTTGGACTTTTAATGGTGAAGCTCTGACATTGGTGGTTTTTAACAAGCTCCTTGGAATATTCTGTGTAGCCAGGGTTGAGAACCACTGGCGTGCTTTTATAGCCTGTGATTACAAGTAGCTACTCATTTAATCCTCATGACAGTACAGTGAGTGTGATGAGTATTCCCCTTCACATCCATGGAATTGAGTCCTCTGAACCCAGGGCAAAGCATTCAATGGCTAAGCCGGGCCTCAACTCCAAGCCTCCTGACCATAAGTGCAGTGCTGCCTCCGCCCCTCCCATCCAGCAGCCCAGGAGAAAAATAGCTGTCTGGGACGTGGTGCTTCTACACACACTCAGCCGTGCCCGCTGTTCTCACGACTCTGCCTACTCACAGCCCAGCCCCAGTTGGCCATTTTTCCTCCTTGAAGATCATTTCCCACTTGGATGCTTTCCTGCTCACTGCACCCTTCCCTCCTCCACATGCACACACCTGCTGCTTTTCAGTCAGTGCCTGATAAAAAGCCCACTTTTCTTTGCCTTCAGAAATGCAGCCCAGAATCTGTCACCCTGGGCAGTTCTCCTCAAAGGATCCCAGAATCCACTGTACCAGGTAACTTTCCTCCAGAATCCCGGAACCCACGGCTCTAGCGGCTGTCCTCGATCCCAGAATGCAATGCGCTAGGTAACTTTCCTCCAGAATCCCAGAACCCATTGCTCTGGGCAGCTCTCCTCCCGAATCCCAGAATGCATTGTGCTGGGTAACTTTCTTCCGGAATCCCAGAACCTATTGCTTTAGGCAGCTCTCCTCCCGAACCCCGGGATCCACTGCGCTGGGTAACTTTCCTCCGGAATCCCAGAACCTACGGCTTTAGGCAGCTCTCCTCCCGAACCCCAGCATCCATTGCACTGGGTAACTTTCCTCCAGAATCCCGGAACCCATTGCTCTGGAAGCTGTCCTCCATCCCAGAATGCATTGCGCTGGATAACTGTCCTCCAGAATCCCAGAATCCTACGGCTTTCGGCTGCTCTCCTCCCGAACCCCAGGATCCATTGCGCTGGGTAACTGTCCTCCAGAGTCCCAGAATCCTTTGTGCTGGGCAGCTCTCTTCACTGAATGCTCTTGGCCTGGGATCCCCGGGGCGGTCTGGGAAGTGAGGCAGCTTGTTCCAACCATACAGACTGGGGTCAGGCAGACAGCAGGGAATTGAGCAAGAAGGGGTCCCCGGCTATGTCAGCTTACAGTGGGGGTACTCTAAGCATTATTCACCCAGCAGGAACCCCAATGTTGTGACAGGGCAACAACAATCGTGCCAGCTTTGCTGTGAATGCTTCTATCCTGGTTGGTCTGATTGAACCAGCATAGGGGGGATACTGCAGCATCCATACTAATGATTATGGGGTTCCATTTGGGGCCAGACAGATCTGTGGGACCTTCTTGGTGAGAGGGAAGGTCTATAGGGGATGACCCGACACTCTGCTGAGGGCAGTGGGGGTGGATAACCAGCACATAGGGCTGGATTTTGAGGAAGAAAGAAACAATGGCAAAGGAGCTTCTATGTCACTGTGTTCAGGGGCTCTGGCCTCTTTTTCAGGCTGAACTGGGTTTGAATCCTGGCCCTGCTGCTTATTAGCAATGTGGCCTTGGATAAGTTACTTAATCTCACTAAGCCCAAATTTCTGTCCCTAAAATGGAGCTAATGGTCATTCCTCCCTCAGAGGAAGAATTAATGAGATAATCTAGGTAAGACATGGTGTCTGACATTTAGTAAGTGCCCAGGAAGCCTTAGCTATTGTCATCATTTAACCCGCTTTCCAAGTGGGGAAGAAACTACTTGGAGAAGCTTTATGTGGACACAAGAATCATCTGAAGATGAAGGTTCACCTGGGTTCCATTAAGGGGACTTTCCACTGAAAAGCTGGAAGTGGGGGGCTCTTCTCTCCTCCCTGCTTCTTCCACTTTCCAGTGGCTGCCTTGGAGAAAGGTCAAGACCAACTGCTAAGGAACACAGCCCATTTTAGTTTTTATGCTCTGTCATCATCTTATATTTTAAATAGAATGCTTCCTGCAGCATGTTCCAGAGAGCTCTGCAACGTGGTCTGGGCATAAATTAAGAGATGGGGAGAAAACTCTGTGCTAGCAGCCCCAGAGTTTCCCACAGAAACATCTGTGAACATAGATCAGTGCCTGTGTAGCTGCGTAGAGAGACACACTCAGCCGGTCTGCCCCAAGCAAGATGCCGGTGACAGGAAGGGAGGCGGGACAAGGACAGCAAGGGATGTCTGGCTGCAAATGCTGCTACTTGTTAGTCTCATGGGTTAGAGGGCATCTTTTCATGTACCTGGCTGTGCCCTGATGGGATCATAGCCCTGTCCTGAACCTCTTTGGAAAGTGACAAAAGCAGACACAGGATGCTTTCTTGGTCATCTTTGTTGGTCCAAAGCTACTGGTGTGCAAATCTCTTCAAGGTGTCCTAAGAAACAGTTGGTTTCTGAGGTGACTCAGGCTCAAGAGACCCAGGTGCCACATCCTGAAGATGTATAGCCTGGAGAGCTGCCAAGAGGGCCTGCCGAGTATGAGTGCTGGGGACCACGTCTGTCTTGGAAGTCATTTGGGATTTGACAGTATCCTGACTGAGCCACCTGGGGATGGGGTTCTCAGGACCCAGTCAGGGAGCAGCTCTGACGTGAAGCCCCAGGAATAGTTAAGATTCCCCGCTTGACTCTTGGATGCACAGGAATTATCCAGGCCCACCTGGGGTCCTGACCTTGCCCTCCAAACACTGACCTGCTCTGTGTTAGTTTTTGCCTCGGCTCTGTTCAGTTATCATTAAGTCTCCTGTTCAGCTTAGTATGTATTGGCTCAGTTGTATTGTTTTTCTCATTTCAGAAATTCCGGGTAGATATGCCTGGCTCAGGCAGTGCCTTCATCCCCACCATCAATGCCATCACGACCAGCCAGGACTTGCAGTGGATGGTGCAGCCCACAGTGATCACCTCTATGTCCAACCCATACCCTCGCTCGCATCCCTACAGCCCGCTACCAGGCCTGGCCTCTGTCCCTGGGCACATGGCCCTTCCAAGACCTGGCGTGATCAAGACCATTGGTACCACCGTGGGACGCAGGAGGAGAGATGAGCAGGTACAGCTCAGACCATTGGGAAGGAGCCATGTCAGTGGCCATCAGAGCCCCAGAAACACAAAATGTTTTTCTGCAGACTGGTAGGGAGGGGGGATGTTAGGGTTAATGGTACGTAGGGTTAATGTTCTGAGAGCAGGGAAGACAAGGGAGCCAGGGGCTGAAGAGCACGTCATCCCCATCACTGGAGGCAGAGCTGGGGAACCGAGAGTCAGGCTGGCTCTGTCATCTCGCTTGTGTCCCTTAGAATCTCTGAGTCTCACTGGGCATGGTGGCTCACACCTGTAATCCCAGCTCTTAGGGAGGCAGAGGTGGGAGGATAGTTTGAGCCTAGGAGTTCCAGACCTGCCTGGGCAATAGAGCAAGACCCCATTCTCCACAAAAAAGAAAAAAAGAAAGAAGAATCTCTGAGTCTCAGTTTCTCAGCCACAAAACGGGGACCACAGTTCCTGCCAGCCAGGACTTGGCTACCGATGGGAAGGACTATTACCACCTGCCCACAGCAGGATCCTTCTCTGATCCTTGGCAGAAGGGCCATGGGACAAGCAGCCAATGAACCCTGGCTGTGAGCTTTTTAGAAAGAGCCCTTAGCTGGTCTAGTGCAGACCTCCGGGCGCAGGCTCTGGGCCGGCACTGCCCACATGACTTCCCATCCTCCTCAGTGTTCCACCTCAGGGCAGGAGCACATTCCAAGGCCTGGAATGCGCGTTCCAGCCATGCGATAACTCTGGCCTTAGGAGTCTGTTCAGCAGCGGGAGCTGACGGGAGGATGAGGCAGGGGAGAGCATGAGGCAGGGGAGGCAAGACATCAGCCCTTTTCTCCTCAAGGGGATCAGCTTTGAGAAGGAATTAACCTGGCTGGGGAGGGAAGCCAGAAAATGGGGGCTGGCGCTCTGCTATTTAGGCAGCACCTACCTGGTACTCAAGAGGCTCATTGCCTGGATCTACAGTGAGGCAGGGCAGTGCCAGGTCCCCTGGGCCTGGAAAGGGAAATCAGAATCATGCATAATTCCAGAAAGAATGGAATAAAGCTTTCAGAGAGCCCCATCTGTCCCCCATCTCAGATGATATAAGCAAGGGCCAGACATACCTGCCTGTGGTCACTTCCAGTGAGTGGGGAAGTATGGGCTGGATCCCAGTTTGCTGGACCTCCTGTGCAGTGTTCTTTCTCTAAGGCTATGCCACCCCGAGCCCAGGGAAGGGAAAATACTTTAGCAGTGGAATCCCTTTTTCAAATGGAATGTTATCCTGGAAAACTATTCCAGTGACAGCATCAGAACACTTGCTGTCCATCTTCACTCTGTGATCCCAGGGCTCCAGTGTCACATGGTTCCCTGTGGATCATGGTAGATCCAGACCCCAGGATACGTGGAATTACAGAGATCACCACTCCAGGAGCTGTAGGCTTTCTCAGGAGCTCTGCTCCTCTGAGGACAGAGCTGGGTCTTGCATCCACTCCTTGTTGGTTTGTTCTGTTAACGGCAGAACCGCAGTGCAGAGCCACTTGGGGAGGCGTGTCTGCTACACTGTAACAGATTCAGTTGCATGTTTTGCTTCTGCTTCTGGAGCAAGTGGCCAGTATCCTCCTCACAGTTGCTTTCCATAAGTGCAGTTGTAAATAATGCAGTAGCCATGCTTATAATGTCCTTCCTAAATATGCTTCCTTCAGGGAGTCCAAGGTGCAAAGCCTTACAGTCACCAATGAGCTGGTCTCTCCCTGGATATAAGTGATCCTGAGTGAGAGCCAGGCTTGGCAGGGACTTTTTGAGGCTAGCAGGACCACAAAGCCTGAGGATGTGCTGAATGCTCGCCATTCTTTTTTTTTTTTTTTTGAGACAGAGTTTCGTTCTTGTTACCCAGGCCGGAGTGCAATGGCGCAATCTCGGCTCACCACAACCTCCGCCTCCTTGGGTTCAAGCAATTCTCCTGCCTCAGCCTCCCGAGTAGCTGGGACTACAGATGTGCACCACCATGCCCAGCTATTTTTTTTTTTGTGTATTTTTAGTAGAGATGGGGTTTCACCTTATTGACCAGGATGGTCTCGATCTCTTGACCTCGTGATCCACCCACCTCGGCCTCCCAAAGTGCTGGGATTATAGTCATAAGCCACAGCACCTGGCCTTTTTTTTGGAGACAAAGTTCTCTGTCTCCCAGGCTGGAGTGCAGTGGCGCAGTCTTGGCTCACTGCAGCCTCCACCACCCAGGTTCAAGCAATTCTCCTGCCTCAGCCTCCTGAGTAGCTGGAATTACAGGCATGCACCATCATGCCTGGCTAATTTTTTTGTACTTTTGACGGGGTTTCGCCATGTTGGCCAGGTTGGTTCTCGAACTCCTGACCTCTGGCGATCAGCCCTCCTGGTCCTCCCAAAGTGCTGGAATTACAGGCGTGAGCCACCGTGCCTAGCCGTGTTCCCCATTCTCTTCTGGGCCTGCCTTACACCAAATTTAGAAATTTATATTCAGCAGGGACTTTGGAGACCATCTTTTCTCATTTCCCCTTTATACCCGTTTTATAGATAAGGAAACTGAGACCCAGAAAGGCGAAGGGCTCCATTAGAGTCACACAGTGAGTTAGTGGCAGAGCCAGCACTGGAACCCACTTCTCCTGACCTTCAGCCCCGTGGTTTTCCCACCACACCACCTAGGCGTGCCTCATACACTCTGTCTGGAGAATTTCCTTCCTTTTTTGAGAGGCAGGGAGAGAACAAGGAGCATTTTATCCCACATCAATTGGGAATTCACACAATCACCCGGCAGCTTTGAGGCAGCCGGGGCAGTAGCAGCCTCGAACCTCGGCTGTTTGGGTTCCCGGCCCTCAGGGCTTTGCTCTGAAGCTTACTCCAGCCATCCCCAACCTCCCCAAGCTGCTCTGCTAGGGAGGAGCCTGTCCCCAGAGCCGGCCTGGTGCCTCATAGGCCTCATCTGGAGCCCGCCTGGGAGGCTCCCTCTGTGCCCCGTGGCAGCGACGCTGAGCAGGTGGGGAGGAGAGGGGTGTGTGGCTTGTGGGTGGATACGTGGTGGTGCTGACACACTCAAGCTGGAACCATGTTGATCTCACTGGCCCTGATCACTTCCTATGTCGACAGCTCCCACGACTTGCCCCACACCTCACCAGTCAGGGGAGAGACTTCTAGGTCAATCAGGAGGCCAAAAGTTGTCCAGAAGCAGCCAGGCGGGGAGGAAGGCTTGGAGTGGGGTCAAGGCCAGCCTTCTTCTTTTCTGCCTCTCATTAGCGAGAGATCTGGGGGGCTTCCTGAGCCTTACAGGGAGCCCTGGTGGCCCTTTCAGTGGTGAGCCCTAAACCCAGGCCTGCAGCAGTGCCATAAGGTTTTCTTGGCAACTCTGCCAGGCTCAAGTCAAGACAGGTTTAGGAGCAGCAAGTATCCAGGGCCTTGGCCAAGTGGCCTCATGACCTCAGCCAGGCCATGGCCTCCCCTCTGTGTGAAAGGCATGGGATTGCCCTTGCTGATGCTGATTGTCCTCTCTTGGCCGTTCAGAACATCACAGCAACAGACCGCCAGGGTTAGAGGGAGCATCGTGGGACTCTGACTTGGTTTCAACCAGAACAGTGGCTCTTTCCTTCCCGGGGTGACCCAAAGTCTAGGCAGTATCCCCTCCATGGGACAACTTCTTCCTGCTCCTCCAAAAGCAGCTTTGACTTTGCCCCCAGGTGTCCCATGAGAGCTGACTCAAGTCTTATTCTCCTTGAGATCTAAGCCCCCAGAATAGCACCAGGCACTTAGTAAGTGTGCAGCCTGAAGCACACCTTGATACCTTAGTAGGTATCAATGTCTGATAACTGAACGGGTGGTCTTTCCCTTGGCATTGCTTTCTGCTTTAGCCCCCAGCTGGCTTCTTTTGTCACCTCTGCCTGGGAGAGGCATTGGGGTCACAGGTCTGCAAGGCTCTGTGTAACCAGAGCATTGGTCCTGCTCACTAGAGCCGAGTTCACGCCCTATGGCATGAGAGACAAGTTCCTAACTATCTTATTGGAAGAATGTAGACCCTAAGCTCTTTGCAGGGGAGTCTTCCTTTGTTTGGTTCGCAGATAAATCCTAAGCCTCTAGAACTGTATCTTGCACATGGAAGCAGGTGCTCACTTGTTGAGTGGACGGGTATGGTGGGCAGCAGGATTATACCTGCTGGGGGCTCCTCTTCCTTTTTCATGTCCTGTCCAACCTAGCACTGCACCAGGCATATAGGGGAGTACTTGGGGTTGAACTGTGAGCAGCTGGCACCCTGGGATTGGCAGAGGAAATCGGGAGTGGAGTAGCACTCTTGGCCCTCCCAACAGCAATATAACATTCCCCCCTGGGTGGTTCTTACCTGTGTGGGGACTCCAGGCCCAGCTACTTAACCAAATAGGGATAATGAGGCTTGCAGAGCAGGCAAAGTGATGGGAGGAGTAATTAGCCAGGGTTTGGAAGAAGCTGCTTAAGTGGGTGGGGCCACGCCTGGCTGGCAGGAGCTGGAGGGGACTCTTGGAGAAGCATCCCCAGCTCCTTCTCTCTGGCCTGGGCACTGAATCAGGGCTGATGTGACAGGTGCTGCCATCATGCCAGGGCCAGCGAATCCCTGACCCATTGCTGTCCTGCTTAAACATGGACTTTAAACATGGACATCACCTTCTGGGGCAGATTCAGCTCAAAGAGCCCTCCCATGCAGCCAGACATCAGTGAGCCGCATGTTCTGGGGGCCTCTGAGTCCAGCCATGCTTCTCTTACCCTTCTTCCTCCTCTCCCCATTTCCAGAAGGGCTTCTTGCCTTACTTTAAATACAGTTTTTTTTTTAAAATGCTCTGAACCATTGGCCCTGTTCTAATCATGATGCTCTGAACCATTGGCCCTGTTCTAATCATGATCGTTGGGTTTGGCCTCTAGCTGTCTCCTGAAGAGGAGGAGAAGCGTCGCATCCGGAGGGAGAGGAACAAGCTGGCTGCAGCCAAGTGCCGGAACCGACGCCGGGAGCTGACGGAGAAGCTGCAGGCGGTGAGGAACACCTCTGGGTGGGCCGGAGTGAGAGCCCCAGGGGTCCTGATCCTCTCTCCTGCAGCTGTCTGCTTACCCACAAGCACCCTACAGATGAGTCAGTGGAGACAGAGCTTTCCTTTCTTTGGACACATGGGTCAGCATTGTGCCAGTTGAAAAAAAAGAGGGAGGAAGGCAGATGGCCTCTAGCACCAGCCAGGACCCAGAGGGAAGAAATGAACAACCTTCTGGGGGGAGTCTAGCCACTTTTTTTACCCAGTGCCTGAATGCTCTCTGCTCATGGACCTGTGAGGGCTCCTGGGTGAGGGTGGCAGAGGGTTTCAGTATCACAGGTCCCTGCGAGCCAGAGCAGATCCAGACCTGCCCCTCCGGGGCTGCTTCCCAAGGTTCCAGCTACTCCCATGCCTGCTGCTGTCAGGAGTGGCCTAGCCTGGCCTAAGCACTCTGGTTGGGCCGGGGGAGGTCTCGATGGAGATGGGTCACGTGGCAGCCGAGTTGTATTTTCTTGGGGTTTTCTCATTTCCTTTATGGGCAGGCGGGTTCCCCGCCTCTATCATGAACTCAGAGCCATGGCGGCCATGGCACTGCATGCTGCCCTTGTGAGTCACTCTCCCATGCTGCCTAATTGCCCAGGCCTGGGGGCCCACAGCCCTGCCCTTCCCTGTCTTAGGCTTGACCTGACCAACGTCACGTAACTCCTTTCAGAGCCTAGCCCTCCGGGAAGGGCTGTGTGCTGTGTGGAGGGCCCGAGCCAGGGTTGACTCTCCTGGGTGGAATGCTTTCAGAGTGTGGAGATGAGAGACTCTACCGGTGGTCCTCACCGTGACCGCCCAGGATGGGGCTTTGAAAACATCCCCTTCCCCTCACGTTTTTTTTTAATTATAATTTTTTTGAGATGGAGTTTCGTTCTTGTCACCCAGGCTGGGGTGCAGTGGCATGATCTCAGCTCACTGCAACCTCTGCCTCCTGGGTTCAACTGATTCTCCTGCCTCAGTCTCCCAACTAGCTGGGATTACAGGTGCCTACCACCCTGCCTGGCTAATTTTTGTATTTTTAGTAGAGACAGGGTTTCGCCTATTGGCCAGACTGGTCTCGAACTCCTGACCTCAGATCGTCTGCCCGACCTCAGGTGATCCACCCACCTTGTCCTCCCAAAGTGCTGGGATCACAGGTGTGAGCCACTATGCCCAGCCCATCCCCTCACTTTAGTTAAATGTTCCCAGGCACCACCTACCGGCTTAGGCTTCTCTTTCTGTACTGCAACCCTCACGCTGGGGTGTTGAATGAATTGAATTGTGTGAATTCTGTGATGCCTGTAGTAATGTCCCTCGGAGGTGTGAGAGCCGGGGAGGAATTCTTTATTCCCAGGCGAGGCAGATCCACAGTCCACTTCCTCAGTCAGCCCTCCCACCACTACCCTTTCTCTGGTTGGCACTTCAAGGAGCTGTGCCCCACATGGCGCTCCTTACCACCTGCCTGAGAATAGTCCTGCCACCCCCCCGCAGGCCCCTCTCCTTTCTTCCTCTCCTCCTAGAAGCCTCACACCCTACTCCCCTGCCTCCCCCGCCCTCTGGCCCAGCCACCCAGGCCCCTGAGCCACATCCTCCACAGGAAGCCTCTCATAAGCTCATGACGTTCATCAGACCCTTGAGACAGATGGAAACTTTTTTTCACTCCGGAATATGCTGTACTCTGCTTAACGAAGCCCTTGCCGGTATCTCCTCGTCCATGTTAGGGAAAACAGGGGGAGACTGCTGACACGCACCCTGTCCCCTCCCACAGAGGCCCCTCCACGTGCATTTGCTCGCTTCTGCTTCTCTGGCTAGAGATGAAAGAAGTGGGGTGAGGTCCTCGTGGGGTGACCCTGGCGTCCTCACAGGCCCTCTCAGGCTGTTACGTTACTTCTGTGTCAAGCATGGTGGCTGAACTGAATGTTCTCTGAGGGTTCTGGGAGTCCTGAAATATGTACTTAAGAAAGTAGAGCAAAAGACTGGGGGTGGTGGCTCACGTCTGTAATCCCAGCACTTGGGGAGGCTGAGGTGGGTGGCTCACCTGAGGTCAGGAGTTCAAGATCAGCCTGGCCAATGTGGTGAAGCCCTGTCTCTACTAAAAATACAAAATTAGTCAGGTGTAGTGGTGGGCGCCTGTAGTCCCAGCTACTATGAAGGCGGAGACAGGAGAATAGCTTGAACCCAGGAGGCTGCAGTGAGCAAGATCATGCCACTGCACTCCATCCTGGGCAAGACAGAGTAAGACTCTGTCTCAAAAAACGGGGGGGGGGGGGGGAAGAAAGAAATTGATTGTAGCCAAAAAAGGGAGGAGAGGCTGTGATGATCTCACAGGGATTTGCTGAGCACTTATTAGAAGCCAGGCACTGTTCTAGGCACTGGGGATACAGGAGTGCACGTGACACAGTCTCCACTCCCTTGTAGCCTTGGGCTTAGCGTGGATCCATCCATAGCTGAGCCGGCGTGGGGTTGGGAGGAAGAGAAGGCGAGGGCTGCACAGAGCCGCGTTCCGTGCCCCTTCTCCATGCAGATCTCTGCAGTACTCACCCCTCAGGTACCAGGGGGCAGTCCTGGCCCCAAGGCTGTAGAACATAGTAGTAGCATATAGATTCTGGAGTCAGATACAATGGAAATCCAATCTGGGCTACCCCACCTGCTAGCTCTGTGACTTTGGAAAATTAACACAACCCCTCTGAACCTCATTTTCCTCCTCTGCAAAATGGGGTGATGGTAACGTCTTTCTCCAAAAACTGCGGGAAGATTGAATTAGGTCACCTATGAAATGCTTAACCCAGTGCCTCGCACACAGTAGGTGCTGCGCTATGGCAGCTGCAGTTGTTATCGCGCCCCCGCTCGAAGCTAACTCTCCTTCTTTGGAAATGAAAGGAATCTTGAGCCTCCAGGTGACTCAGACCAGTGGGGTCTGTGGTTAGGTGTGTGAGCCTGTGCTCTCACAGTGTCTGAGGACATTACTGGTATTCTCTTGCCTGCCTAGATTGGAACTGCCCCCCAGCAGGGTCCCTGGCACGTTGCTGTCCCTCACATCTCTCTCTTTCCCTGGCAGGAGACAGAAGAGCTGGAGGAGGAGAAGTCGGGCCTGCAGAAGGAGATCGCTGAGCTGCAGAAGGAGAAGGAAAAGCTGGAGTTCATGTTGGTGGCTCACGGCCCCGTGTGCAAGATCAGCCCCGAGGAGCGCCGATCGCCCCCAGCCCCCGGGCTGCCACCCATGCGCAGTGGGGGTGGTGTGGTGGGCGCTGTGGTGGTGAAGCAGGAGCCCCTGGAAGAGGACAGCCCCTCATCCTCATCGGCGGGGCTGGACAAGGCCCAGCGCTCTGTCATCAAGCCCATCAGCATTGCTGGGGGCTTCTACGGTGAAGAGCCCCTGCACACCCCCATCGTGGTGACCTCCACGCCTGCTGTCACTCCAGGCACCTCAAACCTCGTCTTCACTTACCCTAGCGTCCTGGAGCAGGAGTCGCCCGCGTCGCCCTCCGAGTCCTGCTCCAAGGCTCACCGCAGAAGCAGTAGCAGTGGGGACCAGTCATCAGACTCCTTGAACTCCCCCACTCTGCTGGCTCTGTAACCCAGCGCACCTTCCTCCCCAGCTTGGGAGGGGGTCCTCCTCGCTCCTCCTTCCCAGGGACCAGCACCTTCAAGCGCTCCAGGGCCGTGAGGGCAAGAGGGGGACCTGCCAGGGAGCTTCCTGGCTCTGGGGGATCCAGGTGGGACTTGGCAGTGAGTATTGGAAGACTTGGGTTGATCTCTTGGAAGCCATGGGACCTCCTCCCTCATTCATCTTGCAAGCAAATCCTGTTTCTTGAAAAGCCTTGGAGAACTCGGTTTGGCGGACTTGGACATCTCTCTGGCTTCTGAAGAGCCTGAAGCTGGCCTGGACCATTCCTGTCCCTTTGTTACCATACTGTCTCTGGAGTGATGGTGTCCTTCCCTGCCCCACCACGCATGCTCAGTGCCTTTTGGTTTCACCTTCCCTCGACTTGCCCCTTCCCTCCCCAGTGTCAGTTTCAGTCCCTCTTGGTTTTTATCAAATTTGCCATGACATTTCATCTGGGTGGTCTGAATATTAAAGCTCTTCATTTCTGGAGACGGGGCAGCAGGTGACTCTTCTGCTGGGGCTGACTTGTCCAGAAGGGGACAAAGTGCAATACAGAACCTTCCCTACCCTGGTGCTTCCCAGTGCACCATCTCCAGAACCCCAGCAGGGCTTCCTGAGCTCTCAAGGAGATGCTGCCATCACGGGGAGGCTCAGAGGACCCTTCCTGCCCACCTTCGGAGACGGCTTCTGGAGGAGCGGCTTGGCCAGAAGACAGGGTGTGAGTGAGACAGTGGGGTACAGGTTGGGTTTGCCAAATGCCTAATTACCAGGCCAGGAATAGTGCCAACAAAGACACACAGGTGTCCTAGCCAGCTTCCCTTCACCTGGTGTCTTGAGTAGGGCGTCTCCTGTAATTACTGCCTTGCCATTCTGCCCCGGACCCTTCTCTCCAGACCAGGGAGGCACCCTTCCCTAGGAGCTGTACATTATACTCCAAGTCCCTGCCGGCTTCTGCCTCTCTCCCACCTTGGCTCTCAGGGTGACGCCACCCACAAAGATTAATGAGCGTGGGCCTGGACCTTCCCCAGATTGCTGCCAGGCAGCCCCTCCCCAAGCCTCAAAGGAGCATTTGCCATGGATGGAGAAGCAGGGGAGGGGAGGCAGGAGGCTGTCACTGGAGTGGCATCTGCAGTGGCATCTGCAGCAGCCGCTGCCCCAGCACCCGCTCAGCTCAGCCTGTCCTGGCTGCTCGCCTCCCCGCAGGCCACCAGGCCTGTCCTGCCCTCTGTGGTCATCTGCCACCTGCTGGCTCAAGTGCTTTCTCTTTTACACTCCCCTGCCCCCATCCCAGTGTGCTCTTCTGGCCCAGGCAGCGAGCAGGCTGTGAGCAGCTGTGCCGAGCTGTCGCTGTCGCTGTTGCTGTGGCTCATGTGCTGTTCCTGGTTGTCTGTGGAATCTTTCCGGCTGCTGGAATTGGAGATAGGATGCTTTGCTTCTGACTGCGGGAGAGCTGTCCCCTTTCACAGGGTTGGGGAAGGGTCCCCCTGACCTCCAGCAGGAGCACAGCTCAGTGGAGTCCCTGCCACCCAGCCCTTGGAGCCTTTTCTCCCCAGAGTATGGCTCCTGCCGAGTTTCTGGTCCAGCAGGGCCTTGACAGGAGTCGGGGGAGTAGCTCCTGGCCAGAGCTGGCCTCTGCGGAGCTTGTGCTCTGTGGAGACTCCGCTGCTGGGGATTCAGCTCTAGGGATCACGGTATCCTCGTTTGAAAGGTAGACTAATTAAGTTCCTCTGTGGAGAAAGCAGTGACACGTTCACACAGCTGTTCCCTCCCACTTGGAGTCCACGCATGCTGGTCATTATTTCATGAATATTACCCGCTTCCATGCAGTAGACACACGGAGCGGAACATCTGTATGCTTAAAGTACATGGCCCAGTAGGACTGGAAGTAACATGTACAAGTGATGCAGAAAGCAGAGTTTCAAAGAAAAAGGATTTTGTTCAGATACTTTAAAAATGTTACTCCTGTATCCCTTGGCTGTGATGCTCCCCCCTCCAGGTTTCCCAGGGGCTCTGGGAGGGACCCTTCTAAGAAGCTTGGGCAGTTGGGTTTCTGGCTTCAGATTAATCGAAGCAGCAGAATGAGCCAGGTGTAATCATCTCAAGTGGCATTTGTAGCCAAGTGGGAGCTATTTTCTTTTTTTGGCATATAGGTATTTCTTAAATGAAGCTGCTTTCTTGTCTTTTATTTCTAAAAGCCCCCTACTCCCCACTTTTCGCAGCAGAGATCCCAGTGCAGGTCGCAGCCTGATTTGTGGCCAGGCTGGACAAAATTCCTGAGACTCAGCTTGGCTTCAGTTCAGATTTCAAGCTGTGTTGGTGTCGGGACCAGCAGAAGGCAAAGCACCAGCCAACCCGCAGGACTGTAAGGGGCCTCTGAGCTACCTTCCCTCTGAAGACCCCCAGGCTTTGTGGTAGGAGGTTGTTTGGCTTCCCAAAGCCAGAGGTGATTTGATTTGGGAAAACTGAATATTCACATCTAAGTCAGCATATCCTGAGTTTACTTCCTTATGGCTTGCCCTCTCAGTTCTCTCTCTTATACACACACACACCGTTGCTTCAGAATCACCAGTCACCTCCGTGGCTCCAGCTGTGGAACAGCTGCAGTGGGGCTGTCTTTTGTGCTTGGATTAGGAACTTCTGTGTTTCCCATGGCCCCACTCTACAGGCAGCTGATGTGGACTCCGGTTGAGCTGCAGGCAGATCTGGGAGGGCACATGGCAGGCACTCTGATCAGCTCGTGTAAAACACACAGTCCTCTTGACCTCCTGGCCAGTCTTTCTGGCAATAGTCGTCTCCATGGCCAGGTGAATGTGGAAGCTGCTGACACAGGAAGGAGAGGAGATCCCAGCTGAGACTTAGGAAACGGCTGGAGCCGGCTGCAAGCAGATAATTCACTGGGGAGGTTTTCAGAAAGAGTCAAACATCATTCTGCCTGTGTTGGGGGGCCAGGTGTGTCGCATATAAGCATCTCAAAGTCAAGAGCCACCTGGGGCTGCTCCTTCTCTTTCTCAGGCTTTGGGGAAAGGAGTCTCCCTCTGCTCTAGCTTGATTCCAAGTGTGTGAGGGTGGTTGAAACTCTCTGAGGCCACTGG